GTCCCTGAACCACATTATTTTCCCTACTGCCAAGCCCTCTCTGCAGTGCTTAAGCCCTAAATAAAGCAATCTCTGGTCTCCCTAGAATCTCTGGTCTCCCTAGGGCTCCTTTTCAGTTTAAATGGGCTTGTTTGTTACTATCAAACTTATATATATTCAGAGACTAAGCATTAGTCTAATGCAGATTGTATTCACCATCCCAGAAATTAAATCTCAAAGACGTACAGACATGGCAGCCATTTTGAAAATTTCATACTCAGGCATTTTTCATTTATAGATAAGTAGAATTTGATACTGATTATGTTACAGACTTTGGGCATATTGCAAATTAGACATATAAACTCAAAGCTTAATGTTTTTAAGAAATTATTTTCAAATTTCAAATTCTAATTGATGTAAACTTGCTTAACATTTCATTTGCAACAAAATTCTTTCAAAGGCTATAAAGAAAAGACTTTATCATCGGTCTTGATGAGTTTTAAGTAAGCACAATAATAGAAACAAAAAAGAGGGCCTGTATAAACTTTATACAGTGATTACAATGTGTCCTGATACGAATAATATTATCATGTTTCCTGCAATGTAACTTTTAAACATTACCGCTGAGTCAGTCAGTTAAAGAAAAGCGACATAAGCTATTTCCTGTGATTAATTATTCTTGTATTTTTTACGCCAATCTTCAAGACACAGAATGATGTTGCCTACAGATTTCCCCATACTCCCTCATCACCTTCACACAAAGCTGCATTGTTGCAGTGATGTTGCAGCGATGTTGTAGTCATGTTATATGTCACGACAGCTGTTTGAAACAGTGTATTCAAAACAAAAACAAAAACAAATTCCTGGGCTGCAAAATACATCCATTTTGTGTCCACAAATTTTTCCTTGTCAACAGGTCAATTTAAGTGCAACTTTTGTTCAGAATTTGAACGTGTTGAGAATCTAATCGTTTGCACAGAAAACACAACATGAAAACTATTCACAATTGATGTTTTCCTTCAATGAATATTTTCTCAACCAACTGTTAAGGGAGTATATCATATTGTCATCAGTTAATAAATGTCACATATTTCTGTCATATTCCAACAAAGGTGTACATCAGTCTGAAAATGGTCACTGAAGACTGTTTCCTGTCTGTCATACAGACCCTTAAACAAGTATATCCAAAAAAGCCATGTAAGTCTGGAATATGTCTAGAGTCTAGAGTTTATGGAAATGAAGAAAGTCATATTTTATGATTATAATTTAGGAACCGTTTTTCTGTAAATATGTTCATTTCAGAGACTAACTGTTAGCCTAAGTGTTTCCTAAACCCTGAGGTTTTGGTGTCTTGGTTGTAAAGCATGTCAGCCCTATAGTTGTGAGGATTATACAGCTCTTCTAACATATTTCTCTGACAACACGTCAACTCATAAAATATCACAATGGAATGTCCAATTTCTATGCTAATATTAGGTATCCCCTGAAATATCCTTTCTTAAGTATTCAATGGGCTGTTCAAGTAGGGTTGAAGTGTCGGTTTTGGTTGCAAGGGATGCTGGGAGTAGTTTCCTAAAACGAGGGAAATTGTCAATTGAGGTGTTAAAGAAGCCTTGCTCCAAGGCTGTACTGAATGCTTAGCCCATGGATGTATAGTCAGTCATTCTATCCTTTGAGGAGGCAAGTCTGATCAGCGGACAGTACTAGTCTGTTATTTATTACTTTTTAGAAAATATCATTTAAACTATTCATTTTTACCTTAGAGACTTGTGCAAGTCTAGTCTTAAAGCTATAATGTGGGTTACCTTAGGTCTTATGTTGATGAAGTTGAACAAGAATCCATGTATTGATAGTCATTAGGGAACTGTACCAACAAGGATTATTAATCAAAGGTCGAATATTGTTTTATGCTGCTGTGAGCAATATTCCAGTTGTAACATACTGATTATTAATTAATCAAATTTGAACTGGCAAACCAGTGGTTGATAGCATGAGCATCAATCTGAATCATAGGGTATAGTGAGGCCTAGTGGACCTGTAACACATTGTAACCACACAGTCATGTCATGACAAGCACTGATACTGGGGATATGGAATCCAAATACAGAATATCAGAAGATTATTTTCTCAAGACAGTGAGCATTGTGCTTGTGTAGTTTGTGACTGAAAAGAACAATCTTGACAGAATCGACTTCTATTCTTTATTCTTTCAATACGATGTATAGAGCTAGTGTACATTTATGAAGCAATTCTTAATTTTGAAGTTTGTTTTACAAAACAAATCTTATGGATAACAACTTCTTTATTTGAAGTTAATCAAGTCGGGAACAGACAATCCAGTGGTCAACATCATGAGCATCGATATATGTAATTGGGATACGATGACATGTCAACCAAGTCAGCGAGCCTGACTACCCAATCCCTTCTTAATCTGAAAGAATATAGAAGTTGAAATCCATACATTAATCCTGTTTTCAACGATTCTACAGAACTACAGAAATACCACTTAAGCATACTGAAAAGAACCAGATGGGTGTCTTTAGTACAAATAATCAGACATATTTATCACCAGAGCTGCGGAGACACGATGATGTAGAATGATATTGCTTGCAGACTTCCTTATAACTCCTGGCATCCCTCCATATCTAATCCTGATTCCTTATTATCTCATTGTGTTATCACATACTGTTATCACATACTAATGCAGACTCGTGTTTCCCCGTGAACCAAGTACTTACTGACGTGCGTCTACCTATCACTGACGCCTGGACTGGTGATAACGTCATTGAGCAGAATTGCTATATTTTGTGAATGTCTTCAAAAGTTTTCTCTTTAAAAATATACATAATTCAACTCTTTGATAAAAAGTCGAAACTGTTGAAATTTATCTAAAATATTTTTTTAAGAACGGAAACCTGCAGTTGTGAACTTTTCAAAGTTAAATAAACATGGATGAAACATGTTGTGAACCTTGTGAAGCTTTCGCTCTCACTCTTCATTGCAAACAAACAGTTCTTGCCAAAAGGTTTCTTATGGTAGGAAATACTGTGGTGTGTTTAAGAGGCTAGACAGTAGAGAAAGTTAAGATGATAAATATTTCTGATCATCTCAAAATATCAAAGGTTGGGCCTAATAGATGTACAGTGTGTTTGTTTAGACTGCTGAATTTGCAAAATTTTATAATTATTTGTTATTTTGATACCAATCAATGTAATTGATTAAATGTAGAAGATAACAAAATATGAGAACATGATCTTTGGTGCTCAAAGTTTTGTCAAAATATAACATTGCAGTTTACTGTTAGACAAGAAACATTCAATACCTTGGATGCCATTTCCTAATTATATAGACTTTGGTCTTCTGTTTATTTATTTCTTCGTTTGTGTGGTGTAACTTCACAAATTATAGCCCTCTTTAAACAAGATGGACGGAGTGAAGGAACAAAATTGTGTTATTTCAGACACTTGAGCACCATGGCTGTTGAGAGAGTATCTGGCTAATCGTGGTAGATATGGTGTGTTGAATGTGTTCACTGAACAAAGATAAACATTACACAGGTATTATCTACCGTTCCATTGGCTTATCATATAGTAATGTACACACTACTTAAGCTTTTCTCACATACACGTGATACTCGCATCCTCGGTTGTCGTATTATGTCAGCGTGTTTAATTTCTCCTTTTAAAAAATCTGTCAGTTGATATTAGTTGAAGTAGTGAAGAGATGCTCAGTGGTGATTTCCTGGAAGATTAACAACAAAAATGGTGTCACATTGATTCAGTCATCCCTGACCTAACAGCGATACTTTGTGATAACCTGGGAGCAATATTGTTGCTTGCTGGGATGCTAGTCTGATGGACCACCCTTGTGATGAACATTTACATACAGGGTAGAGGACATTCTCGAGCTGGGGCCATGGTTAAAGAAATGAATTTCTTTCTGTTGTTATGCTTGTCACTTGTGATAAAATTCCAGTCATATTCTTGATGACAAGATGTGGAAATTCTCTATTCAGAACAAGCTATTTTTGTTGAAAATTCACCTAAAATGTTCATACTATGTCTCTTTTTGGTGAACTTTTGTTTTGAAGTCAACGTGATTACACATATTTTAAATTTTAAAAATAATAGATGCTGTGCTGTTTCAAAATTGTCCTAGTCGTGGAATGTTTTGAAAAATGTCTAGAATGTATGGCAGACGATTGCTTTTGAATTGTTGTTTGTTTAAGACATATTTTTTTAAAAACAAACAAACAAAGCATGACCATGAGGCAAAGACTGCCATGACCTGTAAATATATGCCACAGCAGACCTGTCATTTATGATTTTTAAAAATAATGAATTATTTAAAATTGAGACTGACTTGAGGGGGTCCACCTGAAGTGTCGTCATAGCGGGATTGTTGCACTTGAGAACATTCAATGCAAAGATTGGCAGATTTAGGCCTTGGGATTCACCAAGTGTGCCTCAATTGTGTTTATTGTGTTGTTGTTTTGTGTTCAGACATGTCTCTCACATCACTGTTGACAAGTTAATCTTACCTGATTTACACCTTAACCAGCTGAAGAACTGTTAGGCCATAATAGCAAAATTGTTGAGTTAACATCCAAAGTTTTCAAAAGTGGAAGTGAGATTTATTTTATTTTATTTTATTTATTTATTTATTTATTTATTTATTTATTTATTTATTTATTTATTTATTTATTTATTTATTTATTTATTTATTTATTTATTTTATTTTATTTTATTTATTTATTTATTTTTATTTTATTTTATTTTATTTTATTTTATTTTATTTTATTTTATTTTATTTTATTTTTTATTTTATTTTATTTTTTATTTTATCCAAATACACATGTTAGTGGATTTAAGTGTCTGTATGAGAGCAAAAAAGAAAAAAATGTGAAGGATCAAATCAGAAATATTTCTGCCTGTATGGTTCTTTTTCCAGAAAAACAGCAGCCATTTGAAATGAATTTCCATATGGATGTCACAGATAACCATTGTGTTGTATGGTTTCAGGACTACAGTCATCGAGTCATCTCGGATCTGGTACAAGGACAGTGGCCCCTTGGTCAAGGTGGTCTGTGAGGAAAGTGAGTACATAGTCCAATTAGTGTTCTTGTAGTGTTGTAGTATTAATGTAGGACAGTGGAGGAAAGTACATAGTCTCATTTAGTGTTCTTGTAGTCTTTAAGTGTTATTGTAGGACAGAGGAAAGTAAGTCATTAGTCTCATTTAGTGTTCTTGTAGTGTTGTAGTGTTAATGTAGGACAGAAGAAAGTGAGAACATAGTCTCATTTAGTGTTCTTGTAGTGTTGTAGTGTTAATGTAGGACAGAAGAAAGTGAGAACATAGTCTTATTTAGTGTTCTTGTAGTGTTGTAGTGTTAATGTAGAACTGTGAGGAAAGTGAGTACAAAATCTCATTTGATGTTCTTGCAGTGTTGTAGTGCCAGTACACTTATGATAAAGAACCAATAAGGTGCTCTCTTCAGTTGATCTAGTGCTTCATATTCATACAGGCTTTTGATTCAAAGTAATTCTAGTGTCATCATGTTTCTGTTGTCAGCATTAAATTTCAATGTTGAACCATATTGTCAACATGACAATTGGATTGTTGACATCAATGAACAATAGAGTTTAAGTTCAGGATGTGTCATGTATATAAACTCACAAGCATACAGCAAACACATAGAGGTACAAGATTGCAGAGCATCAGATGACCCTTGGATGTAGAGGCACTGGAGCAGAAGAATGCACTGATGCAGTGTTTGAAATAAAGCACTGATGCACAGTTTCTGGAACAGCATAAACATAAACCATTGATTCATTTTTTCTGAAACATCAGTGAAGTGCTGACGGAGTTGCTGAAGCATGATGACGTAGATGACGATGTTGATGATGATGTTCATGGTGATAAATTATGGCATACAAATGGAATGTTGAAAAAAATGACAGTGAAGTCAGATAATATCAGACAGGTGATAAATCGATATCGTAGCACAATTCATATTTTTGACAAAAGGTAGAGAGCTTTTTCTCCGGATAGGATATCCTTGTTTATAGGGAGTCTTCTATGTAAGACTGAGTCCGGAAATGTGTCACAGTAGTGTGAATCGTTACTAGGTACCGCTGATTTCTATTCAGACCAATAATTATCGCTGCTGTGATAAGAGAATACTTACAAATGGCAGGTTTGAAACCTCTCTAAGTCAGAAATGAAGAAAATGTAAAAATAGATTATCTAATTTTTGTATGTGGCTGCTGTTAATGAACTATTAAACACTGGACTTGTGTTTATGTTTTTGTAGAATCTAAACAATAATACATATTTATTCTGTTTTACACCCTTATGCAAAACAAATCTGTCTTTGCAACACAAGGATCAGTCAACAGGAAGGTTCGTAGGTTTGCTTTGAGGACAAAATTGCTAAACCAGAGTGAGTAAGTGAGTATTGTTTTACGCCCCTTTCAGCAATATTCCAGCAATATCATGGCTGGGGACACCAGAAATGGGTTATACACATTGTACCCGTGTGGGGATTCGAACCTTGGTCTTTGGCATGACGAGCAGACACTTTAACCACTAAGCTACCCCATCACCCCTAAACTGGAATGATAAATTTCCAAATCTATGTACCTGTAATAACTAATGACTAATTGTTTGGTTTTGCAGTGGTAACCATTATGTATTTTTATGAGAACACCACCAATAAAGATCAGGTTTTAATGCTTGATGATAGATATTATATAGCACACATATCCAAGCAATTAGTACATGCTCAAGGCGCTGGAGTGTTCTCTTGATCAACGGGTCTTTTTCTGGCATTGTTTTATCCAACTCAGCTCCCTGGGGAGTATTCAACTCATGCAGCCTGTTAGGCACAGCGAGTTATCACACAGCCTCATCCTCACAAGGTACCCATTTGCAGCTGAGTTAACTGGGACACATAGTCACAGTATTTTGTCCAATGATACTGCACCTTACTATACCCGTAACTAGGTGTCTGCACGTGTTCGTGTGTCCACCATCTGGTCACCTACCATCGAATGAGTGGGTTATTTAAAGTGTACAGGGTTGTGTACTGCACTCTAGGGGTTGTGACAACACTGAAAGAGCCTGCAAGTAATGTTAGCTGCTATGTTTTTACACCTGGTAACCAGTGGGGATCGATCCAGGCACGTTTCGCTTTCTAGCGCAGCACCTTAGGCAGCTCACCCACCATGCTAATTGTATGTTAATATATTGCATACAGTCTCAAAATGTAAAAAATTTACAATGTAAAAATATTTTAGAGTTTTGGAAAGAACAACTTTAAAAAATCTCAATTTAGGACACAATAACTTTTTTCCCAATTGCCTGCCAGTAACACTAGGCTTGGATAATCCCTGATTCAATGATAAGCATTGTGACTGAAAAAGCAAATTACCATATCCCTTCATCTTGGTAAACTGCAAATGTATGCAGTGATGTGATACTGGTTCGGTGTGATGTATATTTTAGTACTCATTGATGTACTCACAGGACCTCTGTCGATCATATATACCTTTAGTCCTTCACTGACTTGAACTTGACATGTGAGTTAGATCAGCCTGATACTATAAAATTATTAGCTAATTTCTTGCCTCGTCTTAAGAAACCCAGGTAATTTATGGAGCATGTAAAAATGACTTGTAGTCAGTTAAAACCTGCCAACGCAAGAACGTGGAAAAAATTAATATCGTCTGTCATGTAATGGTTGTCGTGAAGACGATCGTCTCTTTGTGTGTATTACATTCTTGTAGCAAGGGTACTCTCAGCTTTGATGTGGCTTGGCCGAACTTTGACGTCATATCATAAAGTTTATCATAAAGGACAAATCTTGAGATGCAACAAAACTTTGACCTGTTTTGGGTACATTTAACTCAGAAAAGTAATCCTGATTACAATTTTGTCTTCTTCAAGCAATAGGCTTGAATGAATATAAAGATGGATGTTAATCTGATATAGGATTTTAATGGGGTGGCAAGTACACCATCAAATAATGTTTTAGAAAACTAGAATCAAGAAATTATCTCAATAATATATTCAGTGAGTGCACATTGAAGATATGTAAAGTCGATTTGATGATAATTAATAATGGAAGAATTCTGTTTCAGTGGTGGTGGTGCAGTGAAATGGGGTTTAATGTCATACTTAAGAATATTTCACTCATATGACGACATGCATGCGTGTGTATGTGTGGCTGCTTGTACTAGCCCAGACATAAGCTGGTTTTATAGTGCAAGCTCACTGAGATACCATGCCACAGTGAAGCATGAATACCCCACTCAGACACATTATACTGACTCCGAGCCGACCAGTCCTTGTTGTACCCATTAATGCCGAGCGCCAGACAGGGACCAACAAGTACCATATTTTAACATCTTTTGGTATGACATGTCCATGGATCAAACCCATGACCTTCCGTTGGGTGGACACTCTAACACCATGGAGGCAGTTGAATTCTGTTTCAAGGTAGTAGTGTAGCATATTTTTGTGATGCGTTTTAAATTTGGAACTAATCCAGGATGAATATTATGATTATGATATTAGTTATGTTGACTTTATATGTGATGTTGAGACATGGAGTGCCCAACTGATGGAGGCACTGGAACTCACTGTGCAGAGTTGTGTCCCTTGTTCCTAGGTTGTCAGAACCATATCGGTGTTTGTGAGTTTCAAAGAATTGGTAAACACCTAAAACTTGCATCCATTTTGGTTTTGCTCCAACATCACTCACTCACTCACTCACTCACTCACTCACTCACTCACTCACTCACTCACTCACTCACTCACTCACTCACTCACTCACTCACTCACTCACTCACTCACTCACTCACTCACTCACTCACTCACTCACTCACTCACTCACTCACTCACTCACTCACTCACTCACTCACTCACTCACTCACTCACTCACTCACTCACTCACTCACTCACTCACTCACTCACACTCTCTACAATGACATTGAAGTGAGCTTGAGGTATCAATCTATTCCTCATCCTAGAATATGGCCATGAAATCAACAAACACTCTGTTTTGCAAGGGACAATCAAAAGGGAAAAGATATTCACCCACTGGAAATGTTAGAACTGGTAAATTAGACATTCTTACAGAATCATAAGGAAACCCCAAACATACACAATCTTCCATCACAATGGTTTCATTGTCCAAAGAAATTATTGACTTTCTATTTTCCCATCAATTCAAGTACCAAAACATTTCAGTTGTGTTTAAAAAACGCAAGTGTCTGTTTGGGCATATCTGTTTAATGAGATACTCAATACTGCACACAGGGTAATCATATTTGCATTGAAATTGTAGACATTTATGAGATGATATCACAGTCAAATTTAGTTAGTAAAGCATGTTCCCACCTTGCAGTTCTCAGTGGGAGTTTGCCACTGTCAATAGATTCGTAATATACATGATCTGACAGGCCAATCTCTGTATAATATCTCACCACGACGCAGACAAACCTACATCATGTCATATTAGTAAGTTGTGGGAATGGATCAGATCCCTGAAATACTCCCCCAAACATATTTTTTTTCGTCGATGTCTTTCAATCAGCCCCAAGCTGTGTAAAGACGCAAGCGTGTAATTTGTTTCGTCTTGTCAAAGCCTGGTTTGTCCAGATCCCATCTTCCTATGCTCTTGAAATAAACATGTCATCTCTGCTTTGTGGGGTATGGAAACTGAAAACTCTGTAATTGCCACAGAAAAATCTGCTTATTCATATCTTGCTGAGCAGGTAAGTGTGCTTTATCTGTGACAGATCATAGGGCGGTATATAGTTGAACCACACGGGTATGCGATAAATACTTATATCACCCGATGGTTTCATAGTGAGGATTCATCCTGCTGGGCTGATAATGCAGACTGCTGTTCCTCGAGATATGCAAGGCGATGAAGTCTATAGCTACGCTAAACCATGCTGTTCGATGATTTCAGTTCTCATGTGATAAACCCCAGATCCTTTTCAGAAAATCTCGTAATGATGTTTACGATTAAACAAAAAATGATTGTCTCCCTTAGAGGGTCAGGATTTTGAAAAATGTTAGGGCGGAA